CTATACACTGCACTTGTAATGGTTTGGTTAGATGGTAAAAGTTGATAATGAAGAATTCCTTTAAAAATTTCACCAAACACACAACATCACTTTTTTCGCATGCAAGTCAGGTTTTGGCGTGGGCTGCGGAGCCTCATTTTTGTCCAACCATTGAGGCCGCCTTTTCAAATTAACATACAGCACCCATTCTTCATCTCCGGTAACAATTTGCTCTAAAAACGGCAAACGGTTTTGACGAGAGAGGAGCGAACTGCAAATTGTGACTCTTTGATTATGGTTGTTGTTGGTCAACTCATGAGGAACCCATTTTCCAAACTTTTGGACTTTGCCAAGTGCACGCAATTGATTGGAAATTGTTTTTTGTGAACAATTTAAAGTTGTTGCAAGCTCTTGTTGGGTAATTTGAGGATTTTGCACCAAAAGAGCTTGAAGAGCTTCTTGATCAAAATTGGACACACGGCCTCCACCACTCTTGTCATCTAACGAAAAATTTCCCTCGCGAAATTTCTCAAACCAACGCTGGCATTTTCTGGCGCTAACTGCATCTTGACCAAGAGCACTACAGATGTTTTTTGCAGCCTCACTTGCTTTTCTTCCTAATTGGAACTCGTAAAGCATGCAGTGCTGAATATGCTCTTCATCCGCCATCTTCTTAGCCCTAGTTTTGCAACAAAAACCAAACCAAACACAAACTTTTTCAAGCAAAACTTGTTCATTGCACTTCACACGTTCTGTAGATACCACGTGTTTGAAGGTTATGTCAATACAAGTCAACGCCAAGCAAGATTTTAAACGAATGTTAAAAAACGACATTAATTATTACTAGACCCGTACAAACTAGATGGCCCATAATAATCAGAAGGAATGATAGGAAAAGACCTGATTATGGGAGTAGGAGGGCAGATTGTAATGGTTAGCCTGGAAAATCACTCCTATTCAGTGTTTTTATGAAATATGATCATTGAGCATCAATCTCTTTCCTTCTTGCATATTCCATTCATAATATTTTGATTTGGTAAGATGAATGACCTTTGTATTTATACAGCTTTTGACTAGGAGAGCTGTATCAGCTGGACAGTTGTGTTGGCAAATGTAATTTACCAGTAGGGATATCCAGGATGCTATTCTCATTCAGTTCACATGTATTGGCCAACAGCCAACTCATAAATCTGATGATAGTTTTTGCTTTAATTTATAAAATTAATTTATACAAAATAAATTAGATGTATACACACACACACACACACACACTTGTGTGTGTGTGTGTGTGTATGAATTTGTACATACATATATAAATTGTATAGGCTTGTATAATATCAAAATATTTGCTGCAAGATAAATATGGAAAGAGAATCATGTTACTACAATTGATGACTATGTAATTTTATTCACCTCTTGGGAATCAATTGAGTTATTGATTCCAAAGCAAATGTGCATCAAGGCAAGATATGTTTGACAACAATTTTAAATTATTAGAGTTTATTACATATTTAAAGTCTATAATTAACTGAGATTGTATGTATTTGATTTTAGCTTAGAGAGATAAATGTATTGATATTTTTTTCCCAAGGACTGTATCCTCTATACTGCATAATTACCATGCACTATATTAAAACTATATACCTCTTTGGATGGTCTAGAATATGTTGTGATGCTCAGTGCTTATGTTTATTCTAAACAGGGTTAGAGTCATGAATGTAGAGATTAATATTCTTCATATATATTTGCAATGTTAACACTCAGGCATATATACAGATTGAATATGCTCTAGTTGAAAGAGTTTAATAGTTAAGAATTGGTTCCTTAGGGGTGAGCATTGTTATTTATGGTGTTTATTGTGGGTGTGGCTGTGCATGATCTGAACAATGATGGAAAGAGAAATGGTTCTAGGGGAAACTTAATTTCTTAAACAGTTTTTGAAAATGTGTTTTATTTTTTCACTTTTACATAAAACTAAAATATATACCCTGTCTTTATCCATGTAGAATTATTCGAGAACAACAATAAAAAGAAAATCATCATGAAAATACAGTGATATTTAAATGTGCTCAATGGATCATGAACCTAGTCAGGTTTTCATGATTTTACAGTCTTAACCTCAAAGACTCTGGTTAGCTTGCATTTTTTAGACTAATGAGTTTATCACAGCTAGTGAGGAAAATGGTTAAAGTATATCAGCTGTAAATTGGTACAAAGCACTAAAAGGGACATTAGCTTCTAATCAGATTCTAACAGTTCATTAAACCTGCTTTTCTAGGATGCTCTTTGTCTTTTCCCCTCCTTTGCAAAGCATCTTCTTCCCTTTTCCTCTGGACAAGACCTCCTCCAGGATAGGAAGCAATGTCAACTCATCCTTCAGTGTTTACCCACCTAACAGCTTAGGGGATGCTTTGTTACCTTGGATTTCTGGCTGCTGCGCAAGGTGGGGGGAGGGGAGGGGTGTTGAGGCTGGTCTTTGCTGCAAAGCTTTCATGAGACTAGATGGTGGCAAGCCAGGATGGCTGCTTCCAACCACAAAGCAAGTAACACATTAGAATGTAAGGTCCATGCCTAATGTACAAACAACTCACCAGTCGCCATGGATGGATTTTAAGCTTGTAACAAATTAACTGAGCTTGCCAGTACGGTAGGTCCTCGGGTTATGTCAAAGATCCATTCCTATGGCGCAATATAATGTGATTTTCATCGTAAGTCAGAACCCACCTACATGAGGACCTACATCGCTCACGTGAAGCACATACACAGCAGTAATGAAGTGAAACAATAAAATAAAATTTAAAAGAAAGATAACAATGCCTGACCTTTACTTATGGGAAATAAATAATCCTATCTAATAAAGAGGGAATATGCGAATTGACCATCATACCCTCACAATGATGGCACCATCCACAGCCAATAAGGAGGGAGTGTGCTAATTTTATGCCACATCCTCAAATATGGCGGTGCCCACACCCACAAGATGGTGGTGCCCAGTCCCCTCAGCCCTGCCTTCCTCCCGAGTCCCCCAGTCCCTTGAGCCCCACAGCCACCCAGGGTCAGCCTGAGGTGCAGGCAAGCTGTGAATGGCAGCTGGAGCACAGGCTAGCCTCAGATGTTGGCTGCCCAGCCACCCAGGGCCGGCCCGAGGCACAAGCAAACCTTGGATGGCAGCTGCCTAGGGCCATCCGAGGCTCAGGTAACCAGGGCCAGCTGAGGCTTGTGCTGCCAGCTGTGGCAGCAGCAGAGGTGTGATGGGACCTTCGCCGCCTTCCCATGATTGCCAGTTTGCTTCCTGCCCCTGAGGGCTCCTGGACTGTGAGAGAGGGCAGCCGGGCTGAGGGGCACCCCCTTCCAGTGCATGCATTTTCATGCATCAGGCCTTTAGTAAAAAAACATAAAGCGCATATGTACATATGTCAAAATGATGGACCTTTTTTGTTTTTTAATAAATAAATGGGAAATGGTGACATAACTATAAAATGACATATGTCAAATCCAATGTAACCAGAGGACAGCCTGTGATACCAAAAGTTCCTTCTGCTGTAAGCTATCTATTAGGATGTAAAATCCCTAAAAATTCAGATCAGTTAAAAGCAAAAATTAAAAAAAAACCTGCCTATTTTAATAATACTGTACATTTCTAAGAAAAGAATATAGCAGTCTTTTATTTTCTTCTTTTTATTACTTAATATTGACTAGGTACCATGGAATGTTTTTAAATGTTCATTCCTTAACTCTGGGATAAATTTGCTTTTCCTTCTTATTGATTTTCCTCAGCAATATTTGGGATAAGAGACTCTATACATTTTATTTCTTAGAGTATTTTTCTTAAACAAAAAGAGGAGTCAAGAAATAGGAGAAATAATTAGTGCTTCACTATACTGCACTCTGTTGGTATTATTTAGTAATAAAAACATTTAATATTTTGGTTTATTGAAGTGGATGGTGTTCTTATTTAGCTGCATGATATAAAAGCAACTACTATATGAAAGTCTAAAAATCTAAGGTTTAGAAATAATATTAACCTTTACTACCACGTAGGTAAAATATTTATAAACAGATGTCTTTTTCTTTTAATAAGACCATTTTAGTGTCATATGATTACAGTCTATAATTGAGCAAAAGAATCATTCTAAAAACTCAAATTTAGGCATTTAAATTTTTAGTTTAGTCAGTCTGCAAGGATAAAGTTGGCCTTCTAAACATGTTTTACAACATGACCTTGATTTTGGCCTTTAGCAAACGCTGATATGAGGCTTTCTGACTACCTTCATAGGTTATTGACTTCAGAAAACCCCAAGAGCAGTGAAAATGAGTAGAAAATAACCTTGATTTAATATTTTTATAAATAGAGTTTGAAATTCCACTGAATGCAATAGAAATAAGGTTTTCCTTTCAAGAAATGGCTAATTGAGCCCAACGTACAGTGGAACAAAAACCAGATTATTCTTTAGTTATGACTTCAGATTAAACATTCACTCTTGATCCAAGACTTATTATCTTAGTTGTTTTTAAAGATGTTTGGAGTTGTTGATATGTTAAAATGTTCATTTGATAAAAATTGCTATAATACCAAATTTCAACATGTCTAGAACTATAATTTGAGAATATATAAATTATTTTTATCTATTTTCTCTTTTATGGATTTTTTGTACACAGTACAACCTCCAGAAGTAATAAAGAAGGAAACTTGCCTTCTATTTCCTTCCTCTATTGCAAAAGTGTGATGAATTGCTCCAGCTCCCTATAAATTAATGTAAGGTTTCCTTACGCTAGTTTATTATAGTCTGACCTCCAACCCTGAGGTCAGAGAATCAGACTGATTAATTCAACTTCTTGGTCATTATTTCAAAGGAAAGTTCAGAATGAGCAGATAATTGGTTGTGCTGATATTCTCAGTTAATTATGCTTCATTGTTAAAAAATTGGGTTAGCTGTACTAAGTGTATACCATGAAGGCAGGCTTTAACAGATGTCCTCTTTTGAATACGTTAAATCCCTCTCTCTCTTTTTGATTCTCAGAATATCAACACCTCTGAAAACAGAATGTTAATGCTTGATGGGATGCCGGCAGTCAGAGTCAAAACAGAGCTTTTGGAATCTGAACAAGGGGTAAGCAGAAGTTTCTGACATCACCACCTTCTCTCTGTGACAGTGGCTGTCATTTCCAGAGCATCCTGAGATTGGCAGGATATTTCTCGTGTCTAAGCTTTATTCTCCTGAGTAAAATCACCTGAGACTATGGTTGATTCTCACCTTTTTGCAAACTCAAATATTACTAACCTGGAAAAGATAATTTCCTGAAATTACAAAGTTTTAGTGGCCTTGTAAGAACCGTATGACTTTATTTAAATTGGTGAATGTCTTGATAAGCTAATAAAAATCCAAAGCAAAGAGGAAGTATTAAAAAATAGAAAGGGAATAGAAACTTAATGTCAAAAATAGCTTGGTTCTTTCTTGTTAGGAAATTACAGCATGGGGGTATGGGAATGTTACTGTTTGTTGGGTGGATTTCCCTTTTGGCATTTGTATTTATCCTTTTTCATGCCAGGAGCAGAGGAGACAGTGGAAAAAATTGAGGTCACTGAGTTTGAAAAGAGCACAAAAGCCAAAGAAAGCTTATTTAACAGTGTATCGCCAAATGGACAGATTAATTTATGGCTACTAAAAATATAAAGGTTTAAGAGCACAGCTAGATTTCCTAAAAAGGATGTTGGATACTTTACAATTGTTAACAATTATATCTTCACCAGTTAAATTACAATAAGGGCAGAGTGATCACTTGCAGCGCCCACTGACCACGTTTTGTATTTAAGCCAACAAGCATTTCTCTTGAATCTGAGTGCACACTACCCACCTGTCTTATGAAACCACCACCACTGTGGCAGTACAGATGCTTGGAAAAAGGACATAAATTACATAAATCTTTAATCTTATTAGTGTATCATTTATTCAAAAAATCAAAACTAAACATTTGCATTTAAAAAAAATATTTCTTTATTGATTTCAGAGAGGAAGGAAAAGGTAGAGAGAGAAACAACAATGATGAGAGAGGAGCATTGATTGGTTGTCTCCTGCATAATCCCTTCTGGGGATAGGGCCCGCAACTGGGCATGTGCCTTTGGCCAGAACTGATCCTGGGACCCTTCAGTCCATAGCTGGACATTCTATCCACTGAGCCAAACTGGCTAGGGCTAAACATTTGCATTTTTTAAACAATCCAAATAGAATTTGAAAGTGAATAAAATCTCACTGTTACAAAAATCAGCATGGATAAGTTCATCTGGGATCACATTCAAAAAGTTAGAATACTTTTGTACCAACAGGATTTCTAACGAGGGCATCTGAAGGCATGGATGGGGATGGTCGCATTTACAGGGTTTCTCCAGTTCCTTCCTCATTTCTGAGCTATATGTGACAGGGTGTGTAACATCGCTGCACATCCCCCTTCTGCAGTGTAAGCCTGTGTCTGAAACACACCACTGCAGAAGGGGAATGTGTACGTGGAGAGGACATCATTTTACCTTTATGTTGGTGTTGACAGTCACAGCTATGAAATGTGGACTATGTTTACCCCAAATACAACTCCACCGTTCTGTGCATAACATTATGTGATGGATCATATAGTTCAACTTAGGCAGTAGAACATCGTGGCAGCAAAGAGAATGTGGCATTATTAATATTATTTGTTCAACCTTCAGAGCAAGCTACGTTTTTACTTGGGTTTTCTTTCCTGACTCATCAAATCTTACCTTTTTTGTTTAATCTTACCGCATGAAGATTTATTTTACATTTTGGAGTTTGGTGGGGTTTTTTTGTTTGTCTATTTTTAATTTTTTAAATCTAAATGCATTAGCTTCAGTTTAATGAATATGTTTCTGAAAAACCCATATTTAAGCTTAACAAGTGATATTGACCGTGGCATCTTATTCAGAGAAGATAGTCCTTTTGCTACTGCTGATAAAAAAGTGAAAAAGTGGTATATTTAACAATGTTTTTCTGTTTGTTTCGGGGTTTGTTTTTTTAAAAAAGAGGAAGGTCAAAGCTATTCCTTTTTCAATTCTCTTTCAAGTCTTTTATTCTATCAAGGGGAAAGCTCCTCCTCCTCCTCTTCCTCCTGCTCCTTCTCCTCCTCCACCTCCTCCCCCCCCTCCTCCTCCTCCACCTCTTCCTCTTCTTCTTCTTCTTCTTCTTTTTTTTCTTCTTTTTCTTCTTTTTTCAAGAAAAGAGAGAGAAAGGGAGAGTAGGAGAGAATTAGAAACAACAATGAGAGAGAAATATAGATTAGCTGGCTCCTGCATGCCCCCTACTTGGGATCCCGGCTGCAACATGGGCATGTCGCCCGGGAATCGAACCAGTGACCTTTCAGTGCATGGGATAATGCTCAACCAACTGAGCACACCAGCCAGGGCAACAATGCTATTTTTTTAAATTTTATTTCATAATACCTATATTCTTCAACTTGAATACCAGTAAATTTATTCAGGTCACACATTTCGGTGGAAGGCAAAAAAATCACAGAAAATACTACCTGGGCCACTAGTTAAAGCTAGGATAGTGTATTACTGTCCCCAGTCCTGGCAATCTTTAATGATTTCTAAATAGTACTCTCCCTATAGCATTAATGTTCAGTGATAAAGAAAGGTTTGTAGGAAACATTTATGTACACAAAGAAAAAAAAGCTGATATTCCAAGAGTTTTTATGGTGTGAATAAGAACCTCCTGCCACATTTATATAAACAAGTTTTCTGTCCTCAAATAGGGAGAAGAAAAGTTGTAGATTCTTAGTTTGTACTTAATGCTTGTTTATTAAAATCAAATTTCCTCCTTGTGAATGGAGCTGATATTTCTATTTTAATCCTAACTTATTTTCTATATTTTAGGGAGAAGTAGAAACTTGATTTTATTATTTTTCTTAAAGTGTGTGTACTTTTAAAAATATGTAATAGATATTTCATTCTGTTTTACATGAAAGCTTCAAGAAAAACAGCCAGCAGTGTTTAATGAAAGGTATTAAGACATACTTATTTCATACTTAATAATCTATAATACTTTAAATCAACTCTTTAGTAAGTTGGAGATAAAATCTAGACTTTTAGTAAAAGTTCATTTTGGTCACTTTACTAGAGTTTTTCATTGTCAATAAAGGGATAGATGACATACTATTTAATTTCAGACTCTCCAAACTATTTTTAGATAAAGAGTGCTAGAATTCTGAAGATTTTTAAAATTTCAGTCTTACAGGACTCTTTCCTCATTTCCTGTAAAGGCTGGCTGCAATTTGCTTCTTCATAAGAAAATGTAAACAGTGGAATGATTAATCACATCTATGGTGATGACTTTGGCAAAAGATGAGACCTGCTAGTCACAATGAGCAAAAAGTTGTAGACCTGTATCTATGTGTCACAACAATGGGTGAGAAAGCCTGAAGTTGGTATATTGCCTGGATTCTGAAACAATTCTGGAAAACCTAGTTTTGAGACGCTGTTTATAGGACCTGGGTATTGAACTCCAGTCTTTTGGGGAAGAAAAATTAGTCTGCTTGTCAGGCTACAGGCAGTATTGTAAAGATTTGTTCCTTTACATGGACCTCATGTTTCCATGTACCATGAAGTCATGTTTGTTCTCTCCTTTATGCTATACACTGTCCCATAGGTCTCCTGCTGTAGGCTGGTCTCTAGGTGTCCTTCTACCCCTCTGGGACCTTGTGAGCAGATTTTAGATCTTAGAAAAAGACTGTGAAATGGGTCTAGGTTAGCCATTCTGCTTCTGTATGTGGTCATGTTTCTTTAATCCAATTGTAAGAGCTTAAAGTGCAAGAATTATTTATTATATTTTTCTTGTAGTTCCTGGCACATGGTTAGTGCTCAGTAAGTATTAGGTCTAGTAATAATTAATGTCGTTTTCTAATACTTTTTTTAAATCAAATATATTTAAACAATACAACAAAATTTAATCAACAATATAGTTGCCGTTGTTTTCTACTACTTGTGCCCAACGCTCAGGAAGCATTTTAATCCCTCTGTTGTAAAATTCTTGTGATTTTGATGCAGAAAATTCGGTCAATGCATTTTTGAGGCATTCTTCATTATTAAATTTTTTTCCAAGAAGAAAGTTTTGCAAAGAACGAAACAAATGGTAATCGGAAGGGGCAATATCAGGAGAATATGCAGGTTGAGGGAGAACTTCCCATTCCAACTGGCGCAGTTTTTCAGCAGTGATTCTTGCAGTATGCAGTCGTGCGTTATCATGGTGAAGAATTACGCCCTTCCGATTAATCAGCGTGGGTTCTTTTTCTCTTAAAGCTTGGGCTAACCTTTCCAATTGGGCACTATACACTGCACTTGTAATGGTTTGGTTAGATGGTAAAAGTTGATAATGAAGAATTCCTTTAAAAATTTCACCAAACACACAACATCACTTTTTTCGCATGCAAGTCAGGTTTTGGCGTGGGCTGCGGAGCCTCATTTTTGTCCAACCATTGAGGCCACCTTTTCAAATTAACATACAACACCCATTCTTCATCTCCGGTAACAATTTACTCTAAAAACAGCAAACGGTTTTGATGAGAGAGGAGCGAACTGCAAATTGTGACTCTTTGATTACGGTTGTTGTGTTGTCGGTCAACTCATGAGGAACCCATTTTCCAAACTTTTGGACTTTGCCAAGTGCACGCAATTGATTGGAAATTGTTTTTTGTGAACAATTTAAAGTTGTTGCAAGCTCTTGTTGGGTAATTTGAGGATTTTGCACCAAAAGAGCTTGAAGAGCTTCTTGATCAAAATTGGACACACGGCTTCCACCACTCGTCATCTAGCGAAAAATTTCCGTCGCAAAATTTCTCAAACCAACGCTGGCATTTTCTGGCGCTAACTACATCTTGACCAAGAGCACTACAGATGTTTTTTGCAGCCTCACTTGCTTTTCTTCCTAATTGGAACTCGTAAAGCATGCAGTGCCGAATATGCTCTTCATCCGCCATCTTCTTAGCCCTAGTTTTGCAACAAAAACCAAACCAAACACAAACTTTTTCAAGCAAAACTTTTTAATTCCACTTCGCATGTTCTGTAGATACCACGTGTTTGAAGGTTATGTCAATACAAGTCAACGCC